GCCATGCTTCCTCCCGCACCCCCTGAGTGGGACACGCAGCTTCTGTGAAGTCAGAACTAAGAGAATAAAGAGGAGGTAACTGCTCCTGGTACAAGAAGATGCCTTCGGGTGATCCAGACAGAGAACACAAAAGAGCTTCTGGGACGCTGGAAAAAGACTCTTAAATTTTGAAAAGTCAAGAGAGATTATGAAAAGAATGGCCCCTGCTGGAAACTGCCCCCTTGTTCTGGAAGATGAGGCAGAAGAAATATTCCACAACAGAGAGTATATACAAACAGTCACAGGAAGCACGAGGGAAATGATGAGGGTCACGAGGGCGGATTTGATTCAAGAGGCTGATGAGTGGAAGCAGAGGCTTTGCAAAAGCACGCAGCAGAAACTTGTTATTTAGAAGGAAAGTTTCTGGAGCTGCAAAAAAGGGAGATTCCAGACTGAGGGAACTGTAGGCAGAGAGGCTGGAGGCGCCAAGGTGGGAAAAGCCAGGACCAAAGCCTACCCCTCGGGCCAAGTGAGTAAAAGCAGACAGGGGTGATGAATCTATTAAATGCAGCCCAGAGATGGACCAGAGGTGGAGACTGGGGCTCACGGCTTGGATTTTGCAATGTTGGAAGACTTTTCCTTGAGCAACTCCAGCAAAACTTATTCCTATAACAAAATCAAATTTATTGCTTACTGGGTCAAGGAGAACACAGCACCTGGAAAAATTTAAACATTAGACATGTATTCCATATCATAGACAGAAATTTGAATTACATCTCTAATTGTGGAAAATGAAACTAAAATACAGTATAATTTTCTATTAATACAACCTTGGGGGTTGAGGTGGAGAGAGAAAGTAGTTCTTAAGCTATACGGGAAACCTGGAAGGTACACAAGAAAATATTGATGGGGCGCCTGGGTGGTTCAGTCAGTTGAGCGTCTGCCTTTGGCTCAGGTTATGATCCCGGGGTCCTGAGATGGAGCTCGTGTCCAGCTCCCTGCTCGGCGGGGAGCCTGCTTCTCCCTTGGCCTGCCGTTCCCCCTGCTTGTGCTCACTCTGCCAAATGAATAAAATCTTAAAAAAGGAAAGAGAGAAAGGAAGGAAGGAAGGAAGGAAGGAAGGAAGGAAGGAAGAAAGAAAGAAAGAAAGAAAGAGAGAGAGAGAGAGAGAGAGAGAGAGAAAGAAAGAAAGAAAGAAAGAAAGAAAGAAAGAAAGAAAGAAAGAGAAAGAAAGAAAGAAAGAAAGAAAGAAAGAAAGAAAGAAAGAAAGAAAGAAAGAAAGAAAGAAAGAAAGAAAGAAAGAAAATACTGATAGAGTTTATCTCCTAAACATTGAAATTTTCCATCTGGCATAAACTACTGTACAAAACCAAAAACGATTTCTCCCCTGATTATTTTTAAGCTTTTATTTTAATTCCAGTTAGTGAAAATACAATGTTATATTCTTTTTTCAACTATCTAATATTTTCAAAAGATTATAGTAGGAAATAAAGTGGGAAAATAAGAAGAAATAGATTTTGCCCTCCAAAAATTTTCATTTTTTATTTGGATTTTTGAACCCAGGTTGTCTGTCATAACAACTAGGATGGAGTCTATAGATAACTTTATAAGGTTATTTATTTTAAATCTCCAACAATAAACATTTATTATGCTCAAATATTCTTCAAAAAGAGAGCAGGAAAAAGTTGGAAAACAGGGCAGGCAAAGGGCCAATGGCATGACTACATCAGGAAGCCCTTCGTTTTAGTATAAAGATGAAAAAGTAAATCTAGTAAAACCTGGCAAGATGCTAGAAGAGAAAATGTATGAAAGAGAAAATGCAAATCCTAAAAAATAGAAGAAAATGTGTTTAATCTCACTCACAATCCTCTAATGTGAATTAAAGCAATAATGGGTCATGATGTTACCTCCATATTTGCCACAGTTAAAAAACATTGATTCGGGGCACCTGGGTGGCTCAGTGGGTGAAGCGTCTGCCTTCGCCTCAGGTCATGATCCCAGGGTCCTGGGATCGAGCCCCGCATCGGGCTCCCTGCTCAGCGGGAAGCCTGCTTTTCCCTCTCCCGCTCCCCCTGCTTGTGTTCCTGCTCTCTTCTTTCTAAAATTTGGATTATGATCTAGAGAGCATCCTAGCATTTCCTTCCACTGCTTTACCAAAGTCATCCTCGCTAAGGATGCCAACAGCGTCCTCACAGCCAAATAAGTGGGCAGCTTTCACTGTCGAGTTTCTTTAACTTTTCTATGGAATTTGAAAAAAATCCCCACTTCTTCCTTGAAAAGTATGTCTGCCTTGGACTCTGAGTACCTCTACTATAGCGATGCTCATAAAAATAACCTGAGGAGTTCATTAACAATTAGAGTCCCAGGTATCACTCCCGGAGATTCGGACGGTCTGGGCTGGGCCAGGACTCCCGTCTTTTACCTAAGCCCCTTGGGCACATCTGAGCCTGCAGACAGCTGTGGGAAGCAGGCTCTTTCTGTTCTCTTGCTTCTCACTCTTGCCTTCTTTTCGGAGTGTGGGTGACACACAACGCTCCATGACTTGCAGGCGCGCAACAGGGTGAACGGACGAGTCTATACATGGTGCTGCGCTCGCCGCAAGGGTGGCCACCACCGGTCCCCATACCGCGGTGTCAGTGTCGCCGACTCTTGCCCGAAGCTGTGCTTTGCATCCCCCTGACTTCTCCTTCCATCCCTGGGAGCCTGTGTCCCCGCTCCCCTCCCTCTGGCCGCCATCAGTGTGTTCTCCGCAGTTGTGGGTCTGTGTCTTTCGTTGGCTGCTCTTACACCAGCCTCCTGGAGCCTCCAAAGCCAAAGGCATTCACCTGCCCCCTTGGCCCTGTTCCTCCTCCTCTCTGCTCTCAGACAGAAGGGACACCCGTCACCTAAGCTAGACACCTGAGCTTCCTGCAGACCCAGCGAGGCACTCATCCGTTTCTGTGAATTCTTCCTTATAAATACCTTCCAATCTCTTTATTCCTGATTCCCATCCCTTATTAACACCGCTGCATACATCAGGCCTTTTTCTTCCTTCTTGGATCTCTTGTCCCTCTGGGACACGTCACTCACGTTTGCCTAGATGCAGACACTGAGCCATTCAGCAAATATTTACTATGCCCTACCCTGTTCCAGGCAGGGGCGCAGAATGACACATAAGTCAGCAAGTCCCAGGTCTAATGGAGCTGCTTCTGCATCTAGTGGAGAAGCACATCATGAACAGATACACACATCACAACTTACTGTTGTGGGAAGAACTACAATGAACCAATACATGCAGGAGAACACATGACCTCACTCGGGGACCATCAGAACATACTTCACAGGGGAAGGGACACCGAGTGTGACTCTCGTGCCTCCCCCAGGCCAGCCGCCGGACCCCACTGCCTCCGGCATCCTCCGTCCCAACGCACACCCCAGCTTAGCCCTGTGGCAAACTTTCACCGACTCAGCCGTCCCCTGGTCACTGATGTCTTCCCTCCCTACTGGGGACAGATCCTTGCCTCTACCTCTGTGCCTCTTTTCTTGCAATCTCCCTGGCGGATTGCTCACCTTGGTGTCTGTCTATACCCCAGAATGGTTGTGATTTCAATATGGTCTGCATCCAGTTGTTTCATTTTGATTTTCTCTAAGTCACTCCTCTTTTCTCACTTAGCTTCCAGATGATCCTTGTTAATCCTCATTGTTTCCCATTTGAAAAGATTTTAAACTTTGCTTCTTAGGACACACACATGGTTAAGTAGTCAAAAAAAATTTCTCTGCCATTTAGAGAAAGTTATTTGTAAAATAAGAACCAAAGAGCTATTGCGAATGTTGTTTAGTGAAACAAGGACTATTCTAAGCTACATTAGAGACAAAAACCTCTAGTCATGTTATTTTGCTTTAGATCTCACCAGAGTTTGTCCCTGGAGTATAACCTAGAAAAGCTGAGGTTCCAGCTGAGAAAATTGTATTGTTAAGATAATATTGATTTTAATTTGATCTTACTGACATTGCTTCCATTTCAGCTCATGCTGTTAGAAACTTCTTACCGATTTTTTGAGGGGGGCAGTGATTCTCTCCTCTGGAGAGAAAAAGTTGAAGCTTTTAAAGTATTCTTTTTATTGTTGCTTCATTTGTGTAGCATTTCCAAACTTCGTATGTATAATTGAGAAGTCTTTTTGAGTTAGGCCGCTCAAGTGGTTCTGACGAAAGAAAATCACGTCCACGCTTTGCATCTGAAACCTACATTTTGTAAACATGTTTCTTTTTTTTTTAAAAAAGATTGTGTGTATTTATTTCATTTTCTTTTCGGCTTTTTGCAGTATTTTGTAAAGCCCTTTCCCAAAATGTAAGGACCTCAGGTGCAGTAAGAGGATCCCACGGTTTTGTCTGGGAGAAACCCAAGGCAGTTGTTGTAAAGTCGGAATCCCATGTCCCCGGGAGCCGGATGGGTGGGGACACCTGCGGGCATCAGCCAGAGGTTACACCCATAGGTTACATGCAGTGGGATGCAGTTGATGAGCTACGTTCTTAAATTTTTTCTTTGGCAATAATTTTAAACTTACAGAGAAGTTTCAAAAATAGAGAGGAGCCCCTGAGACCCTTGACTCAGATTCATCTATTATTATTATTTCATGTGTATGTACGGGTTACTTTTTCCTGAACATTTGAAAATGAGTTGTACATGGTCACTCTTTACTCTTCAATAACTCAGTATTTCCTAAGAAAAGGAATATTGTCCTGCATATCAATAGTATAGTTACCAACTTCGGTAAATGTCACATTAAAACAGGACTTCTGTTTCATCTACGGCCTGTAATCCATTCTGTCATCCTCCTGCCCAGCGTTGCACTCCCTCCCGCCCGGGATGCGGGAGCCGTCCATCCCATACTGTCCCCCCGTGTCCCTTCACTCCCCTTCAGTCTGGAACAGCTCCTCAGCTTGCTCCGTCTTTGAGGACATTCATATTTCTGGAGAATACAGTTAGGGGCCCATTGTTATAGCCCTTCTGTTCACGTGGGACTTCTCTTTTCAGAGCTTACCTTTCTCAGACGTTGATGGTGTTTCTCAGGCGGCCAGTCGGGCTAGAATCGGGCCGTATGTGTCAATGCCGTAGATGCTGAGATGTGCAGAGAAGCCTTTCTGAACCATATGACCTCTGGCAGGAAAGCCGGAATGGATGGAGGCAGGGGCTGGTGACCAACCTGAGACTAGGCTGACTGTCCCCCTAACCTCACGTACGTGTGTATACGCACGCACACCGTCGAGACCAGGCTTAAGATAGCGCAGGAGTGGTGCGTTTCTGCCTCTTCCGTCCTGCGTCCCCCGTGGGTGCGCCTGAATCTCTTCTTCCCAGAGACCCCAGGTCCACGGTCTGGGGGGATGTCTGTCGCCAGAGCAGTGTGCTGGAAGCCGAGCAGGAGGGCAGGAGGGGCCCGGCAGACGGAGCTGCACCTGCTTTGCCCGCCGTCGGAATGGGCCCCGGCAGGGCGGCGGGACAAGGTCTTGTCAGCTGATTTACAGGTGGAGCTTCTGGGTCCTGAGTCTGAACGGACAAGCTGCTCGACGTCCCGAATGTTCACATCGCGCCAGATCCAAGCCCCGTGCTGCGGTCCTCGCATGGTGGTTGTGAGAGCGGCCCTATAATCACCTTGCAAGTGATAAAGCGTGTGCATACGTGACCCTTGCTTTACTGTCGTGGGCTACGTGACCCTGAAAATGAATTCTTGAGGCTCTTAGAGTCCAAGATTGGACTCATCTCCCCTTAAGGAGCCGTTCTCCTCAGCTTCCTGGGAGATCCTTTTGCTTTTGCCACATGCGACCACCTGTCCCGTCCCCCTGCTCGGAGGCACCGCCCCTGGGCTGGCACGGGACCTGCTTGCTCCTGTGGGCGGCAACTTCCAGAAAAAGCCAAGCCTATAAGCCTTGAGAAAGTTCCTCCCAGCGACTGTTGTACGCGCCCTTGTTTATTGTCACTACATCACGAGCTTCAGTATTTAACTTTTACACAAGAAATCCTTGATGGTGAATGTCAGTTGTATACATTACCTACTTTCCTATCTACTCAAAATCTGCAATTCAACTCTCGAACTGCATTGGACTTTTCATTTCTTAAGCTTTTTACTTGAACACCCTGCACCAGCAACGGTCCCCAAAGCCTGTCCACACAGAACCTCCCGGTGTGTCTGCATGGAGCTCCTACCCAGCAGTTGAAATTGCGCCTGGAGCCCACTTTGTCTTAGAGCTTTGACTTCTCCTTTCACAGCAATGAGCAGACTTGTGTTCTTTGATTTTCTTAGGACCATGTAACTTACAGATAAAATGACAGGCCATTAAATTTGGGATTTGCACATAGCTTTATCTGACATAAAGTTACTATCTGTGGTCCTTCTACTGACAAAAGGTAAAACTTGAAAGGAAAAAGAAATGTTGCTTTTTAATAACCTTGCTCTGGGAAAACAAACCAGAGGAAAGTCTGAAAAAAATCTGCATTCAATTAAAAAAGTTTGATTTGGCAAAAATCTAAGAAAGGACAACCGAATAGAAACAACGGAGCAAAAGAGAAAAATATTTCATGGAAGAAAAGTCACAAGCGGACAGTAAACGTAAGGAAAGCGGCTTAACCTTATTTGTGAACAGGGAAGTGCAAATCACAACTACCATGGAATGGCATCTCACGTCCACCGGGTTGGTGCTGAGCACGGATGAGGACGCAGAGTGACAAGAACTCCCCTCGCCGTGGGCGGGTTCCAGCGCCTGAAAGCGTGCCCACCACTATTACTGCCTGGTGAGCGAGGAGCCACCTGGAAAGTCACTTGCTGTCATCTCAGGAAGTTGCAGGGTTTCCCTCGGGGGACACCGGAGGCCCCCGCGGGTGCGCGCCCCAGGGGAAGACTCGTGGGTGCACGACTGCTCACAGTGTAGCGCTGGATCCTCGAGAGGAGCCGGACGGGTCAGCGGTCAGTTCACACTCCTGCTGAGAAGACAGTCCCCGACCGGCCAGCAGCGACAGAGAGTAAAACACTGTATAGAAGCGAAGGGGCCAGTCCGAGAGCAGAATCGGATCTACGTGCCGAGTAAGCAGAAATAGGCAATAAGGTTTCAGAATTCATTCATGTTCGTATTCGGAATAATTATGAGGAGACCAAAGGGAATTGCGAAAAACCCACATGCGCGCTGCTGCCTTGGGTCGGGGGTGCGAGAAGCTATTGAGGGGCTTAGGTGGCGTTGGAGATGGCGGCAGGCGTGTGTCCCCAACAGGGGTTCCCGCTCTTCTGGGGACCGCGGGACACACGCCATGGTCCGTCTGTGTGAGACTCTGCACGGGGTTCGTTGTAAGAGAAGGAAGAAGACACAGTTCCTGCTTTCACGACCGGCCTCCCGGAGCGAGGCAGGAGGGAGGCCACTCGGTGCACCCTGAGGTCCCGGAGGAAAGCTTGTGCCCCCCTGACCCAAGGCCCATTGCAGAGCCGACTCTTCGAAGAAAATGCGCAACGTCGCAAGTACCTTGGCGGGCACCGTTGACTCGTTTCACCTTCTCGCCAGAAGCTCCGCGGCAGCGGACGTGTCAAGGGGAAGAACAGACCCCACGCCTGCTCTCAGCCTCCTGGCTCCAGGGTGACACGGCGGGGGCCCGGGCCCGCGGCCTTTCCTCCTGTGGACCTCACAGGCCGAGCGGCGCCCCGGCGGGCTCGCTCTTCTCCTCGGGGACTCGGACCTCGTAGGCCTGTCGCATGTCTGCCACGTGGAGTCGCTCTCACCGCTCGCACACGCTCAGCGTGGGTCTGTCGGCTTGGAACAACGTCCGCAGAAGACAGCCGTTTGAGCTCTGGTGCGTCTTGTGAAAACAAAATGGACCTTTGACACTAGAACAGTCACACACACACCAGGTGGTGTAAAACTGGGAAACGCTGTCATCATGGGATTCCCAGCTTAATTTTTATTTCTAACTAGGGAATTAATGTTTTACGTAAAACTGATTTATGATCGAGCATTTAAATTCACGATGAACGTGAGTTTGCTCTAGGTCATGGTGTCAGACTTTACAACACGCACAACGGTCCCCACTTCACAGACACAAAACCAAAGCTCACGGGCTCAGGGGTCTGGTCAAGGTGACGGGGCCGGAGGGGGCTGAACTCCCGGGCCAGGACTCCAGCCACTCTGCGGTCCCACACAAGCCTGCAAGTCGGCTGCAGTCACAGACCTGTCCCTCCCCTCCCCTCTCCTCTCCTCATCCTGTCCCTCACCTCACCTCTCATCCTGTCCCTCACCTCTGCTCTCCTCATCCTGTCCCTCACCTCTCCTTTCCTCATCCTGTCCCTCTCCTCTCATCCTGTCCCTCACCTCTCCTCATCCTGTCCCTCACCTCACCTCTCATCCTGTCCCTCACCTCTTTCCTCATCCTGTCCCTCCCCTCTCATCCTGTCCCTCACCTCACCTCTCCTCATCCTGTTCCTCACCTCTCCTCATCCTGTTCGTTCCTCACCTCTCATCCTGTCCCTCACCTCTCATCCTGTCCCTCACCTCTCATCCTGTCCCTCCCCTCCCCTCTCCCATCCTGTCCCTCCCCTCTCCTCACCCTGTCCCTCACCTCTCCTCATCCTGTCCATCTCACCTCTCACCCTGTCCCTCACCTCATCCTAGCCCTCACCTCTCATCCTGCCCCTCCCCTCCCCTCTCCCATCCTGTCCCTCACCTCTCATCCTGTTCCTCACCTCACCTCTCATCCTGTCCCTCCCCTCTCCCATCCTGTCCCTCACCTCTCATCCTGTTCCTCACCTCTCCTTTCCTCATCCTGTCCCTCACCTCACCTCTCCTCATCCTGTCCCTCCCCTCCCCTCCCCATCCTGTCCCTCACCTCACCTCTCCTCATCCTGTCCCTCCCCTCTCCTCTCCTCATCCTGTCCCTCACCTCTCCTTTCCTCATCCTGTCCCTCCCCTCTCATCCTGTTCCTCCCCTCTCCTCTCGTTATCCTGTCCCTCCCCTCCCCCATCCTGTCCCTCACCTCTCATCCTGTCCCTCACCTCACCTCTCCTCATCCAGTCCCTCACCTCTCCTCATCCTGTCCCTCCCCTCTCATCCTGTCCCTCCCCTCACCTCATCCTGTCCCTCCCCTCACCTCTCATCCTGTCCCTCACCTCTCCTCGTCATCCTGTCCCTCACCTCTGCTCTCCTCATCCTGTCCCTCACCTCTCCTTTCCTCACCCTGTTCCTCACCTCTCATCCTGTTCCTCCCCTCTCCTCTCGTTATCCTGTCCCTCCCCTCCCCCATCCTGTCCCTCCCCTCTCATCCTGTCCCTCCCCTCACCTCATCCTGTCCCTCACCTCACCTCTCATCCTGTCCCTCACCTCTCCTCGTCATCCTGTCCCTCACCTCTGCTCTCCTCATCCTGTCCCTCACCTCTCCTTTCCTCACCCTGTTCCTCACCTCATCCTGTTCCTCCCCTCTCCTCTCGTTATCCTGTCCCTCCCCTCCCCCATCCTGTCCCTCACCTCTCATCCTGTCCCTCACCTCACCTCATCCTGTTCCTCCCCTCTCCTCATCCTGTCCCTCCCCTCCCCTCATCCTGTCCCTCACTTCTCCTTTCCTCATCCTGTTCCTCACCTCTCCTCTCTTTATCCTGTCCCTCACCTCTCCTCGTCATCCTCTGTCCCTCACCTCTGCTCTCCTCATCCTAGATCTCACACTTGGGAATTAGGTGCCTGTGTGATTGTAGCTTCTGCTCAGGCATAATGCCATTTTTTCTTTTGATCTAAAATAATCTAATCAAATGCAAATTATCAATGAAGTCTTTGTTGAGTTTATAAAGAGTTGGGTAAATTAACTTCGATCATCACACACCCTCCAAATAGACTAGAAAGCTTGCCAATGAAGAAGCTCTGAAGGGAATTCCCTCAGAATGTGGAATTCTAACTTTGACACATTGTCATTTTTAGGTTCACATTTTTATCTCTAAATGATTTCCATTTCTAAAAGCCAGCGTTCTGTTTGAACGAGGACAGCAGTACATCGTCCTGTAGGCGTGCCCAATCTCTTGTATAAGGACGTCAGAGTTAACACATCCAGCGCATCCATGCTCCAGAGTCCCACCTTCTCCAGGTTTGTCTCTGTCCTTTGTGGGTGCAAACACACGGCCCAAGATAGCAGAAGAGATGAAGAGAAGGGGAGAGAGAATGACCGACTGGCCGCGTCCTGTGAAGGCTTCTGGAAGCTACCATAGCCTATCTGTTGTCACAGCGTTTTGGCCAGAAGTGGGTGACCCGGTTCGCCTGCTGAGGCCGCGGCCCCTGCCTGCTCTGGAGCTCCTGATTTCCAGGCCTGGGCTTGCCTGGAACAGCAGAAACTCAGGAAAGTTCTCAGTTCCCCAGCAGCCTGCACTCAGACCTTGTCCAACGAGGTATGAACCCCAGGCTTCGGGAGCCCCCCCCCCCCAACACGTTTGTACTGTCAGGTGGGATCAGATGGGCTTGTCTCACCCTTTCTTCTTCTGTCGTAGCTTAATCTTTATGTTGAACTTCACCCTTTAAACCAGTGGGGTGGTTTGGTTTGTTTTTGGTCTCCTGATTGGACCCATACAAATGGTAATATGATGACAAGTAGTTAAGATTTCTGAACCCAATTCCAATTGCTCACAAACTAAAATTACAACACATATTTAAGCTTCCAGCCATTGTAGAATTTTACTGTTTCACAGAAACATATGGTAAAAAGTCATCTACGTGAGGAATGATAACCTCTCATTGTCTAATTATTCCATTTGTAAAATTCTTACCCTGGTTTCTGTGCTGTTATTCCCCATTTCTTTTGCATTACGTTGAGATGCTATATATTTTAACTAAAACAGAATATATTTTTAAGTGTTTAAAAAAAGAACACCTATCTAAACCCACAGATGAGTGAAAAAAATGGCCTTATATTTTAATACAAAATTATGATACCAAAGAGTAGCCAAATTAATTAGATTCCTTAAATACACTACTTTCAACCTCTTACATACATTAATTTTTTGAGCCACTGGAAACATGAACTGCCTCACAAAAATATTTAATGTTCTCAAGGGAATACAGCATTTTAACATGAACCTATGAATTGTTACTTTAAAAGCTGCATGCACTGTCATGACCCATTACAATAAAAACCCAGTGAGATCAATAACACAAGGTGGGTAACTATGTGATAATTTTTTGAACAGTTTAAATGTAGACCACCTATTGATTTAAAGTTGAAGTAGCAAATGTTACTTTTTGCTAAGACAGCTTTTATTATCGTTAGACTACTGATTTTTGAGAAACAGAGCCGCTCCACACTGAATCCACTGGTCTTGGTTGCCCCCACACGGAACGTCGACGTTGGCTACCACGCGGTCCCTCTCGCAGCTCGTGTACACGGGCAAAGATATGCACTCATCGGGGGAATAAGGACCATATGCACCCTGTAGAGAAAGAATTTTGTGTTAAAATATGGTAATATACTACCTTAAAGCAGACTGGCAGATAAGCAAAGAAAAACAAAACTCTCCCCAATAGTAAGATTGAATATTTTATGCTGAAATGGTTTAAAGGAGGACTAGCAGAGTAAACCCCATAGTCCAGCTGCAACGGGACCCACTCCCAGCCAGCTGGGCTTCATTCACCGTCCCCGAGCCTCAAACTGAGAACATTTGGAAGAAAATCTGACACATCCTAACATTTCATCTATAAATGTTTCCTTTAAAATATAAAATACAATTTTTGCTATTGTATTTGCTACTACTGCAAATCAGTATTAACAATGATCCCCTTTTTAGGCATTGAAGAGCGTATTCTGGAGAAGAACACAGAAACAATCTCTGAGATACTTGCCTTAAAATACTTGTTTATTAAATACCAACCTGAACAGCGTTATACACTTTCGTGCCAGTCTTCATATTTAAAAGGTAAGACTGAAGCTTTTGTTAATACTCTCAACTCAGCACTTCATCAAAACTAGCTCCCAAGGGCGCCTGGGGGGGCTCAGTTGCTGAGGGTCCTGGGATGGAGTCCCGCATCGGGCTCCCTGCTCAGTGGGGAGTCTGCTTCTCCCTCTGCCTCTGCCCCCCACCCCGACTCATGTTCTCTCTCACCTGCTGTTTCTCAAATAAATAAATAAAATCTTAAAAAAAAAACCCAACAAACTAGCTCCCTGATGCAAGACCTTGTCTGCATTTCTCCAGGCACAAGGGAGAAGGAGGCACTGGCTCTTTACCTTTCTGATTTTTCTTTCCCCCTTTTCAGCTTCAGCAAGTCTAAGCACAAGAATTTCATGTTAGCTCTGGAAGAAAACCCACCAGAGTTTAATACTAAGAATCTAGAACCACAGAAAGCAGAAAAGAATGTCTAACAAATGAGGTAAGAGGTTGCAGTGCTTTGCTTCTAAATCCTTAACAGATCTCTCTGCTGTTTCTGGGGTCGTGGGTGATATTATAATTGGGTCATCCCATCAAACAGTAACAAACATAAATTATGTGTGTTAGAAATTTACCTACCATTTCACTTAATTAGGCAATTTTGAAGATTAATTTTAATGCTATGCAGAAATGAGATGTAAGTTTCTACTTCTCCAACTCAACCATCCCTGTTCAGGAACGGGGTTTTACAATTTCCGTAAGCATGGTTTGTCGTTACATAGGATCTTCCATACTAGTTGTTCTACGTTTCTAAAATATTTTTTTCCGAATTTAACAATTAAAATAATTTTTATTCAGTATAGCTGACATACAATGTTATATTAGTTTCAGATGCACAATATAGTGATTTGACAATCTTACGTATTACTCAATGATCACGGTAAGTGTAGTCCCTATCTGTCACCACACACCATTATTAAATACTATTGACAATATCCCCTACCCTGTACTTTCATCTCCATGACATCCTTCTTTGTAACTGGAATTTTGTGCCTCTTAATCCCCATTTATCTATTTCACCCATTTCCCTGCCCACCTGCCTGCTAGCAATGCTACCATCAATTTGTTCTCTGTATTTACAGTCTGTTTTGTGTTTCTTTTTTTTTTTTTTTTTTTTTTAAGATTTATTTATCTGACAGAGAGAGATAGTGAGAGCAGGAACACAAGCAGGGGGAGCGGGAGAGGGAGAAGCAGGCTTCCTGCGGAGCAGGGAGCCCGACGCGGGGCTCGATCCCAGGACCCTGGGATCATGACCCGAGCCGAAGGCAGATGCTTAACGACTGAGCCACCCAGGCGCCCCTGTCTGTGTTTTTAATTTCCTTCATCAGTGCTTTACAGTTTTTGGATTACAAGCCTTTCACCTCCTTGGGTGTTTCTTCCTAGGTATTTTATACATTTTGGTGCAGTTGTAAATGGGACTGTTTTCTTCTCTGCTAGTTATTAGTGCATAGAAATGCAACAATTTTCTGTATATTAATTTTGTATTCTGCAATTTTACCGAATCCATTTATTACTTTGAATAGGTTTTTTTGGTGGAGTTTTAGGATTTCGTACATATAGTATCATGTCATCTACCAATAGTCACAGTTTCTTTACCAATTTTGGATGCCATTTATTTCTTGTCTGATTGCTGTGGCTAGGACTTCCCATACTGCATAAAAAATGGCACTTCTAGGTTCTACTTCTAGGACCTACTTCTAGGTCCAATTTTTTGGCATGTCAGTTTTTTAAGTGTCTTACAATCCTTTATATTTTTGTGGTGTTGATTGTTGCTTCTGTTTCCTTCCTGATTTGAGTTTTTTTTTTCCCTTGGTAAGTATGGCTAAATAAATAATTTTATCTTTTCAAGGAACCAGCTCTGGGTTTCTTTGATCTTTTCTACTATTTCACTTTTTCAAGTACATATTTCATTTATTTCCGCTCTCATCTTTTGTTCCTTCCTTCTACTAACTTTGGGCTTTTTCTAAAAGGCCCTTTAGATGTAGGGTTAGGTTATTTGAAATTTTCTCTCTTCTTGAAAGGCAGGCCTGTATCTTGAATAACCTCCCTCTGAGAACTGCTTCTGCTGCATGCCAAGGATTCTGGGATATCATGTTTTCATTTTCTTACGTCTCTGGGTATTCTTTGATTCCTCTTTGGTTCTTTGTAGACCCATCGGTTGCTTAGTAGCATGCTATTCAGCCTCCACGTGCTTGTTTTATCCAGGTTTTTTTTACTTGTAATTGATTTCTAGTTTCATAGCCTTGTGGTCAGAAAAGGTGCTTGACATGATTTCACTGTTTAGTTTGTTGAAACTTGTTTTATGGCCTAACATGTGATCCATCTTGGAGAATGTTCCATGGGCATTTGGAAATAAATGTTTTTTAATGCAGTGTCCTGTGTCCCTTTGCTAAGTCCTGGGACTTGCTAAGGCGGCTGCCTGCCCGGGGCCCCATGCCCCGCTCCCGTCCACGCCAGCAAGGCGGAGGGGCTCACCAGTCCTTCTGACCCAAGACCTCAGACGGCGCTCCTGCAACTCTTCTGGGGCTATTTCCTTTCTATCCCAGTTGTTCTTGGTTAAACTCTGGTCTTTTTTCTCTGTGCCTCAGGGTGTGCGGGCTGGTGTGCGCCGTGTGCCTGAAGCAGCCAGGGTGCCCAGATCCTGCGCCATCTGCACCATCAAGACGGAGGAGAAGGTAACACCCGCCAGCCCCCATCCCCAGTTCACGAGAGTCCCACAGGCCCCCTGCCCATGGGCAGACACACGAGGCCTGGATCCTTGAAACTGTAGCTGCCCTTGTAAACCACGGCTTTTGTTTCTGTGAGCCAGGGTGGACGAATCTGCTCAGAGTCCCTCAGGACTGTCCCTCTGGTTGCAGATGGCAGCGGCGGGATGGGGCTTTGTGTCTCCTGCTCTCCATGGTCCCTCTGTCCTCTGTCCATACGGAGACTGTTCAGTTGGTTCTGTTCTTCAGGAGGAGCTGCTCTGTGCATAGACTCCATGTGTCTGTGGAGGAGGGGAGTTCAGGATTCCATGTCGGCATCCTGGATCCTCTCCCAACAGTAATTCCTGAATGTCATCTCTCCATTATCTACCTATTTTTAAGTTTTTGTTGTTTTTAGAACCAAAATTCAAATAAAGTCCACACACGGCATTTTGTTGATATGTCTCTGAATTTTCCCAAATTTATAGGTTTTTCCTCCTGTTTCCCTTGGGTATGGTTTCTTCAGCAAACAAACTGCAAGAGCTTCCTCCATTCTGGCTTTGGTTGGATCCATTCCCGTGGCACCCTATTTTTCTGTTTCCTGTGAACTGGATCTGGAGGTAAGTTTAGAATCAGATTGCATTTTTGGCAAAAACCCTGCATAGATGGTACTGTATGCTTTCATCAATAGGCACATGATATTTGATTGTCTTTTTACACATTAGAAGCCACGAGATTATTATCACATTCATGATCACAGAACGGCAAGCTAATGCCAGGCAGAGACAGATCTATAGCAAGAAACTTCCATTACCACTCTTTAGACCGTCATGAGCTACCATTCATTTAGAAAAGGCTCAATAAATGCTACCAACTTCCCTTTATTTATGTGCTTTCAAAATAAATTTGACCCCTAGCATATTGTAAAGGTGACTAATGACCTCCCCTCTCTTTGTTAAAACACTCCTGGTACGCTTCAAACATAGTTATTACCTTACTGCTACTCAAATTGTCCATCTTTGCTCAAGGGGAACTCTTAAATTGGCTTTTGAGTATTCTTTGTTTTTGTCTTTTTGTTATGTCTCAAGTCGTCTTAAGTAGCTTTCTTGCCTTCTATATGCCAAAGTATTACAAGCTTACCTTGTACATTTCCTGTCTCAATAATCAAATTAGTCATTCTGAGGATCTGTGATTCCTTTAATGAGAAATGGTATCAGGGATTGTAAACTGGGTGCGAGGAATGATCTATCATTCTCCCTCTAGGATTAGTCTGTGACTGGAGCTTAGAATTGTGTATTTTTTAAAGAAAAATATCACAAGTTCATAGTATTTCCAATTCACATTTTGGATTAATATGTATATTGAACTTACATAATTTTATTCAACTAATGGATTACTTCTTGGAGTTGAAATGAGACTTAGAGGAGAAGTTAGACTCGTTCTAGGATTTCACAAATGGAGAATGAGAAACCCAGAGAGGATTCACCAGGGTAATCCGGTTAGCAAATGGCACAGCAGCCGGAGAGTCCAGTTGGAGAAAGGATTTGGCATATATGAATATTGGCACCCAAAGACTGTGTCCCACGGTTACTGTCAGGACAGAAGACAAGCGCATTTAAGGAAATGAATCACATTCCAGCTCCGAGCTCCTGACCCTAAGTAGATGACTCTCTGAGCATCAGTTCCTCTATTTTTATATAAAAGGGAGAAAAACAGACTTGCTCACCCAATAGGATGCTGAAAGGATTCGATGATGCATTAAAGAACTCAAATACAGGGGCGCCTGGGTGGCTCAGTCGTTAAGCGTCTGCCTTCGGCTCAGGT